GAGACCTATCAGTAGAAGATGGGCACATGACTTAATAAGAGTTGAGAAGAACCAATACGACACAGGCAGGCAGAATGGCTATAGAAAATGTTTTATTGCAGGAAGGTCAAAGTAGCGATGTCTACAACAAGAAAAGCTAAAAAAAGAAGTACAAGATCGAAAAAAAATGTTTTAAAAACCTCTGGTCAACTCTTCTTTATATTATGGTGTGAATGCTGGATAAATATAATCAAACCTACCTGTACTGATATTACACCTCTCGAAGACGGAAAACTGTCAATATGGAATCTCTCCGCTCTCCCCTTGATAAATTCCTCTATAATTACCTCTGTAAAATAAAAACCTGCCTAACTTGGAAATGGAAAGAAATTCCTTCCCTTCGGAGGGTTTTTACGTGTCTAAGACAAGAAATGTTTTGCCTGGTCAGCCCTGATTTGAACCAAAACTATCAAGTTTGGTTCCATCGGCTCTAACCTTTAAACCATGCCACAAGATGAGGAAGGGAGTAGGGGTGCAACTTGAGGGTAGATGTTACCCCATCTATGTGAACTCTGTGTGGTGTAGATAATCAGGATGGTGTTGATGTGAAATCTCATCAGTACCTGTGAAAATGTTGAGTGACACACCAGCCAGGAAACTCAGGTTCAAAAGCTAGAGGAGTGAAATTAATTTGACCAGTGCTTGCCGCCCTGACCCTACTGCCAGCCTAGAAAAAAGATTGCTCGAAATGTTGTTAAATGCACAAAAGAGTTGGCATTGGTTGACTGTATATTACACCAGTGAGTTGGGGCTAAGGGTGGAAGCAAAGGAGATGTTCTATCGTTTTTGTTTTTAGTTTGTCAAACAATGCTCCTATGAAATGCAAGCAGTGGTATCAATAGAAGATAAGTTTTGTACTAACACGTGCCGTTATCAGAGAGGCTATTATATGCCTGAAAGGTGTGAGGTTTTGACCACTGCTTGCCGACATACAAGCGAACCTTGATCCCACCAGAAGGACCTCTGGAGCCCTCCTCCCTCTCCACGTAGATTCCCCTGTCTGAAACAGAAAATGTCTTAGACAAATTTTTTTTTCTGGCTGCCTTTCTATTCTGTCTTAGACAGGTTTGACTGTATTAACAGTGTGAAAATAATAAGGCTAAGGGACAATAAAAATGAGTTGGGTTTTTTTTTAATGGATATTGTCAGGAATTTCATGGCAGGAGAAGAACTCAATTGAGATAATTCTGATAGAAGCCTGTCAGTACTAAAAACAATTTAGATGAGGCAAATGTAATTCCAGGCACTCAAATCGACATAAACAGGCCTCCAACTTCTTACACTCTCAATTAAAAAAAAAAAAATAGAAGGCTAAAGAGGCAGGGGTAGACAAAGAAGAATAGCTTCCAAAGAGGCAATTGAGACATGCATAATGCTTTTTTACTTCTCACTGTGTTGATGGTTATAATGGCACATTTGTCACATTACAAATATCCTTGACCTAGTTAAAGTCTGTGTGACCTTATGTCATGTTCTGTTATCTTGCTAACTTTCTGTAAAAATTGCCAACAGTATCTTTGTTTGTTATTTAGGCTTGGTATACATTTCTTGTCTCAGCCATTCTTTATTTAAACAGTTTGCCTTCATACTTTTTGTTTGCAATGGATGGTCATCCTTTCTTCTCTTTGGTCTCACTTGTTCATTCAACATTAACAAATAAGGCCTGATGACATACAGGTTATGGTGTAGTGTACAACATGCTATGCAATCACATGCACTCTAGCACAGAGGCACATGCAATAGTCGTAATTAAAATGTGCAGCAATTGAAATTTTATATGTGCTATACTTTATTTTAATGTTGAGCCCATAGTATTATCTAATTTATTTTCATTTAACTAATATTTCTAGCTAACAAGAACATGCTGTCGATGTTCCATTTTTCAGGACTTTTTGAGGAGATTGAAGCAACTCTGAAGAAAAGAATTATGATTTTTGATGGTGGAATGGGCACTATGATCCAGAATGAAAGACTTGAAGAAGAGGATTTCCGTGGGGATATTTTCAAAGACCATACTTTGAACTTGAAAGGAAATAATGATATTCTCAGTTTGACTCTACCAGAAACTATTTACAAACTTCACAAAGTAAGTGCTTTTAATTTCACTTGTTATATTGATCATTATTTGTGTTGGTCGCTTTGTCAATAATTTTGCTATCCTGCGATAGGTTGTTAGGGGGTGAGGGGGGGGAGGGTGTGATGGTCGTCTTCTTTTGGTTATTCATCTATTTTTGCCTGTCTTAATTTTTCCCATCACTAAATGACCACCATTGTTTCAAGATGTATCCCTTCAAAAAGCATTGTTCGGTGAGAATACTGACTTTTGCGCCGTAGGATTTGTTAGGCTATCCTCACAAAATAAGAAAATTCTGGCAAGTTTTCTGCACTACTATGGAAAAGAATTATCTCTGTAATTTTCCCAGTGCATGAGAGAAAAGTATTGGGATAGTACCTGTACAAGGTCAGCAGTTCTATTGACCTATTTTTGTGAAGTTTGACCTCTACCTTGGCTAGCTGATAAGACTGGTCCGGACTCTGATAACATGAGAAAGGTTTGGAAAAATCTAAACCAGTTGACGAAAGGCAATCGTTTCTTGACCCCTTATCTTACACAGACCAAGGTCTCTTTTTTATCTCTTTCGATTACACCACTCTCTTCATGCACCACACTTTGACTCTGACTTTTTTCCTCAAGTGTAATACCTTTAATTTGTTATCTTATCTGTCTCTTGTCTTGAAAGCCCAAAATGCTTAAGTCAGAATTTATTTAGTACAAATGTTTTTCTGGGGTTTTTCTTTTAGATTTTACTGTAGCCTCCCCATTCCCTATCTTCAAATTTGTATGAGTGTTGATTTTGACAAAGTTATTTGTTTAGATATTTTTTCTTTGAAATTGGGACTTAAACACATAACCTTGACATGAAGTAAAATAGTATCTGAGACATATCAGCAATAGGGTCACCATAGACCTCCCTGTTAAATGTGGAATTCATTTTGTCTCGTCTTTTTTTCTTGTCAAGAAGAAAAGATTCTGTTTTTCCATGTTAGCGCACTGTTGTGACCACCACTCTAATCTGGACCTTTCCTTTACCCCAAGACGTGACAACATTGACTGTGTTTAGATTCTCCTATTCTCAAAAGATCAGCTAATGGATCTTGCAACAGCCCACTTTTTGAAATCTGGTAGTTATATTTTTTATGCTTTCCCGACTGCAGTGCGATCCATGGGGAGTGGATTTTTTTTAAGGTTTAAAAAAAATTATTTTCTAGAAAATCTTCAGATTTGGTACAACAATTGGTTTTAAAAAATGGAAATCTTATACAATTACCTAGGCTTTCTCATCAAGAGATCCATTTCTGTGTTTTTGTATTCTTTACTTATAATTCTGGTTGCTTGTTTGAGCAATACCTTGACTGGTATAGAATATCATAATTGAATATATGATAAGAGAATAAACATGAAAGTTATTATTTTCCTTTTTTTTCTGGACAGGCTTACCTTCTTGCAGGGGCAGACTTTGTAGAAACAAACACTTTCAGCGGCACATCAATTGCTCAAGCTGATTATGGGCTGGAGAAATATGTAAGTATGCTGGAACTGATGGAGATTGGTGTCAAATAAAGGTCTTTTTGTTGGTGGGTGTGAGTGACAGCCTATCTTTCTGTATTCTATGGAGCCCCAAAGAGCGTGCTCTTTGCCATGGCCACCGCCTCTTTTAGGTAGCTAGTGAGGCAGTCCAACCTCCCTGAATCTTCCCCAAAGAGATGCTACCGTCAGACCTTCGTAGCGGGGCATCTCTGCAGCCAGTGTTCCAAATCTTGGGGCTCCTCACTGCACAATAGATAGAATGGGTCCAGTGTGTTATCAATTTTATGTTGGTAGGCCTGCAGCCCTGAGAAATGACCAGTCCTGATTCTCGCCAGTAGTGACTTGTTGTCGCTGGAAGTGCCCCATACACTTCCTTCATTCACTTTTGTGCCTAAACAAGAGTCCTGCTGAATAATATTTCGCTAAACGTAAATTGTGATCTCCCAATTTCTAAATAAGTTTAAAGCATCTTTCGTGCAAGACATCACAACAACCCAAATATGAGCCATCTAACTTCCTGTCTAAACATGTCTGCCTGTCCTGTACATCTTTCAAAATGTTGTGTGATTGTTATGATGAGTATTTATTGTAGCTGAATTAATCTTAATTTGGAAGCTTCCTCTTTCTGCAAACACATCGCGTGTGGGTGATTGGCGGGTACTCTGGTGTGGTTTGCTCCTTCTTTCCTATCAAACACCTATCATCCTTATCTATCCTCCTTTTTTTAATGTTTGTTACTCGCTTGTAACACCTGTAATCTTCTAGCGCTCATATGACCTTATGCAGTTGCGAGCGCCGTAAAACCTCTACTAAAACAAACAAACACATCCTTACTTTCTTCATTTGATAGTCAGTTACATCATTGATTTTTCTGCACTATGTATGGTCTTCATGGAACGTATGATATAAAAAATTCAGGGGACTAATGGATATTTCTTTTTCTCATATTCTATTCTGTCTGTAGGTCTACAGATTAAATGTTGAGTCTGCTCAAGTGGCGAGACGAGCCTGCGAAGATGTCACCAAAGAAACAGGTACTTGAAGCTTGCAGTTCTCTTTCTTTTTGTATGGGGGTAGAAATACTGGGGGGAAAGACACTTCTGAATTGCTGTTGATTTTTACAGTGAGTCTGCATGATAACAGCTGCATTTTGCCTGGAACAAATAAAAGTAGCAGAATAAATGTTGAAGGAGTGGGTGGATGAATCATGCTGCTAAACTCAGATTTCTTGTGGGTTACAATGTATTTACAGAAGGGGAAATCTCATATTAAAAAGAGTCTGAATCAATTAGCAAATTGAATAAGGGAAATCTTTGAAAAAATTTCACTCTCGCTGATTTCAGAATAAGTTAAGATGTTCATGTTTTTTTGTTCCTTCAAGCAGAATGTTACATGTCTTGGTTCAGGTATGTGCTAAGAAAATAATTACAGTTGTCACTGCCTAAGATCACTCTGCATAAGAAGCCAGTCTGCCTAAAACCCAACTGTTACCATGTAACAGAATTTTTCTTTGTAATGTACAAACCTAAGAACTTGTTCTGAAAATAGAAATCTACTCAAGAACCTTGCTTAGGCTCAGAGCAACAAACTTTTTTGAGCTGTTTTACTATGCTTTGGAAGGATGAAGGGAGAAAAGTTGGCATGGACTAGGGGATGACAAAATCTACCCATTACATCATTCACACTTACACAAAACTTTTTAGGCATACACATGAGCTCTGCAAAATGGGTCAATTGCTAAGCGGTATATGGTTAGTACAGTCATTTGCTCCTCTTGCGTGGTCAATGTGTCCAGTTGTTATATAAAATTTTACACAGAAATACCTGTGAGGATAAATGACTTAACAAATTATGTGCTCTTGTTTCTTTTTTTAAAATGATGATCAGGTGTCAAACGGTATGTTGCTGGTGCTATGGGCCCTACCAACCGGACTTTGTCCATCTCTCCATCTGTGGAGCAACCTGAACTTAGGAATGTCAGTAAGTAAAGGCAAAATTGTTCAAGATGGCCTCCCATTGTCGAAGAGAAAAATGGTTGTCTTGGAGAATGTCATTGTAATAGAAAAATAATGTAAGAGGGGAAGTGAGAAGAAGATGTTTATATTATCTTCTCAGTGTGAGAACAGGAATCAGAACAGACAAAAAGAGAAATACATCAGTGCAATCTTCAGTCAAGCTCCAGGCTTTGGAATGCATTTACACTCACATGTACTTTTTTTTTTCTAGCATGTTTTTGTAACTTTATTGTTCAACAGAGTTGATGAGCCTTTTCTAAAACCTAAAATGTGTAGACTCATGACTTTAACACAGAAACATGTAGTCTGATGTATCTGGATTAAATATAAGATCCATGCCCAGTGTCTTTTTCTTTGAATGGAAAAGTAGTTGCGATAGGGATGTTAGTGAAACTGTTCTCAATATATTTTTTTACCTCAACTTGCCTTTGTTTTCTCTAGTTCTGTTTCTATATTTTACTGATTTGATTTATACATTGAAAGATGGGGCTTCTCCACGTGTTGATTTTTGCAATTTTTGCCTTGTGTTCTTTCTAGCTTTTGATGAGCTTGTTGATGCTTACACTGAACAAGCAAAAGGACTTCTTGATGGGGGTGCTGATGTATTGCTGGTGGAAACGATATTTGACACAGCAAATGCCAAGGCTGCTTTGTATGCCATTGAGAACGTCTTCCTCTCTGGTTATGAAAAAGTTCCCATCTTTGTAAGTAGAAAAAAAAATGTCATTTCAACTAGTAACGTAATTGCTATTACTACCATCAGTTATTGTCTTACAAATAATACTCAATGACCTTGAACAGCAATAGTGCAGTTGTTTTGTCTATCCGCTCTCAAAACATGGTCTAGGTTTTACTTAATTTATTAAATTTATGAAACTATCTTTGTATTTAGCTCTTGGGGTCCTGAGTCACTCAGCTGCCTGAACTGGGTTTATTTTTTTAAATTAGAAAATATTTTTTCAATTAATATCATCTTAATATTTTGTTTATTTTCAAAGATTGTAAGCATATTCTTCATATTTTCAGAATTAATTTTGTTTGCTATAATTATTGCTGCTGGCTTTTTAATATATTTTTTGGGGGTCTCGTTATTTCTTTTACGAGTACTAAACAAAATTAACTTTCTTCTTTCTCAGATATCTGGCACAATTGTCGACAAGAGTGGTCGCACACTGTCCGGCCAGACAACAGAGGCATTTCTTGTCAGTGTCAATCATGGTCTTCCTATGTGCATGGGGCTCAATTGTGCCCTGGGAGCTCAAGAGATGAGACCGTTTGTTGAGGCAGTCAGCAAGAACACCATGTCATACGTTCTGTGCTATCCCAATGCTGGTAAGTCGATGTTTGTTAAAGACATTTTAGTGGGTGGTTGGCGGATGCTCTGGTGTGGCTTGCTCCTTCTTTCCTATCAAAGATCTATCGTCCTTATCTCTCCTCCTTCTTTTTTGTGTATGTTACTCTCTTGCAACACCTCTATTCTTGTGCACTTACATGACCTTATTGTGTTTAAAGTGCCGTAAAACACTTACTAAAATTAAAAAGATATTTTAATGCCGCTGTAATCAACAATATGCACATAACTGGTGGTTGGTCAGTACTCTGGTGTGGTTTACTCCTTCTTTCCTATCAAAGATCTATCGTCCTTATCTCTCCTCTGTCTTTTTGGTGTTTGTTACTCTCTTGTAAGACGAATCTTCGGCACTTATATGACCGTATTGTGTTGCAAGTGCCGTAAAATTCTTGCTACAACTAATCTGGACAGCACTTTCCAGTGAAAATTAGGAACAGTGATGGTATATTTTAAGGTTTGGTGTCAGGGTTTTGTAGCTTTCAAAACCAGCTAAAATTTTGTACATGTCATGGTCGTGTATTGCACCACTTCAGAATGACAGAGAATGAAAGTAGACCAAATTGCATGCTATGCTACGTTCAGAATAACAAATTTAATCTAGAGAAGTATTTGCATTGCGTAAAGTTTGCTTTTATTAATGACCAGAATAAATTTTTGATGTGTCGCCTTCTTTTTGTGCTAATTTTGAATAATTTTGAAAGCTTCTGTCTATCCTCAGGTTTACCAAACACATTCGGAGAATATGACGAAACCCCTGAAATTACTGCATCACAAGTGAAGGTAAAGAGAATTTCATAAGATGCATCCCTAGAAAGCAAGAACTTTGATATAAACTCTCCAAGTGTCATTAATAGATAATAATAATAATAATAATAATATATAACATTTATAGAGCGCATTTCCAAAAAAAATAGCTCAATGCGCTTTACATTGGAATACCCATTTTTCAAAAACCTTTCTTACTACTTCCTTTCTTCTCAAGCAATATACATTAATGCACACACACACACACACATACACACACACACACACACACACACACACACACACACACACACACACACACACAGAGACTATTTTCATCCAGACATAGGAAAAGAACAAATGTAATGAAAGATAACGTTAAAAGCTTATGAAGGATAGGCCTGTAGGAACAGAAAATGTTTAAGATGTCTTTTGAAGCTATCAAGTGTTCTTATTTGTCTTAGTTTCATGGGTAATCTGTTCCACATAAATGGACCAAGATATGAGAAAGATCTCTCTCCATATGATTTGTATGATTTTACAGGTGTCACAAGTAGGGTGTTATCGTTCGATGATCTTAGGTTTCTCCCTGGTTTATATATACTGATAAGTTCTTGTAGATAAAAAGGAGCAGTTTTAATTACACATTTGAAACACATGACGCAGATTTTAAATATTATTCGTTCTTTTACAGGGAGCCAATGCAGTTCTTTTAATAATGGAGTGACATGGTCTCGTTTTTTAGATCTTGTTATCAGTCTAGCGGCAATGTTTTGAATTACTTGTAAATGATTCAAATATTTGTTGTTCAGACCTGCCAGGAGTGAGTTACAATAGTCTAATCTAGATAGGATAAGAGATGTTACCAGTGTTTTTGTGGTCTCTTCGCTTAAGTACTTTCGAACTAGGCATATCCTTCTCAGCTGAAAATAAAGGGATTTGGACAGAGATCCTACAAACGAGCCCATTGATAAGTGGTGGTCAATATATACACCGAGATTCCTGACAACTTCTTTACTAGATGTCATATGCCCATATAAATCAAAGTTGACACTTTCCAGATCTTTATTTAATCGTGGATTTTTTATAAGAATGATGTCTGTCTTTTCTTCGTTTAGTTTCAATTTGTTTACTGTCATCCACTTTTTGATTTCATAAAAACATTGTTTAGTGATGGAAATCATGTTTGGTAGATCTTGAATGGTGCCATTAACATACATTTGGGAATCATCGGCATAAAAATGATAATTCAATCCATGATTTTGTAAAATGCTTGCTAAGGGCTGTGTATATAGTGTAAAGAGCACTGGTCCAAGAACGGACCCCTGTGGAACTCCATAATCGAGCCTGACCTGCTTTGAAAAGCTATTTTTAATTTGCACTGACTGAACTCTTTCTAGTAAATATGACTTAAACCATGAAAGCACAGTACCCGATAAGCCAAATGAGCGCTCAAGTCTTGTGAGTAGAATAGCATGGTCAATTGTGTCAAAAGCTGCGGACAGATCCAAAAGAGTTAAAAGACAGATGTTTTTGCTATCAATGGAATCCAATAAATCAGACGTTACTTTTAAAAGCGCAGTTTCGGTACTATGATGAGTTTTATAGGCAGATTGGTAAATTTCCTCAAGACCATTTTTTCTCATGTGAGACAAAACTTGACTTAAAACAATCTTCTCTAGAATTTTTGAGACAAATTGCAAATTCGAAACTGGTCGATAGTTTTTAAATTCATTTTTATCAAGCCCGGGTTTTTTCAATAAAGGTTTTACAATAGCTTGTTTGAAAGTATTAGGTACTGTGCCAGTGGCAAGTGACATATTCACTATCTGAGTAATGTGAGGTAGGACAATATCAATACAGGTTTTGAATACATGAGCAGGCATTGGGTCAAGGTCGCATGTTTTTATGGTTGACCCATTAATACAATTTAAAATATCACTATTTGTAACTGGACTAAAAGAATCTAATATTTGTCCAGTAAATTCTGAAAATTCCAAATTTCCATTTGGCTCTAGGTCGAGAGAAGAGCGTATGGTATTAATTTTGTCATTGAAAAAAGTCACAAATAAACTACAAAGTTCGTCATCTGATGTTGCAGAGGGGAGAGGAGATATTGTTTCTTTTCCCAGAATAGCATTGGTAGTCTGAACGAGTTGTTTGGGTGATTTAACATCTTGTAATTCATGTAGATAGTATTTTTTCTTGTTATTTTCGATGATTGAGTTGACTTTGTCTCGGTGGTTAATAAAGATGTCTCTGTGTCAGGAAAATTATTTGATTTTACCTTATCATGACAGAAAATGCTTGAGATAGGCAAACCAATTAAGTATAGGCCTTAAACTTATCCATTTTTAGGAAATAGAATTCATTTGAGAAAGAGTTGAAATGTTTGATGATATTTTTTTAATGGGATAAACTTTCGACCGATTTCAATACTTAGAGGGTTAACCAATTTTATTGTGTTTTTATGAAGCTTTCAGAAAAGTGCGTTTGCTTCCATCGGTGGTCTAATTTTTTAGATTTTCAAAAGTTATGGTCTTTGGGATTTTCCAAAATTACCAAGATCTGTTTGTAGTCGTGTCTTTTTTTCTGTTTTCCTTTTTCTGTCTTTCAGTACTAGAAAGTTTGGGTCTTTTAGTGTGCCAAAGGTAGGTCTTACATCTGCCTGTCTTTTTTCCCCCAACAGAAAATGACCATCATCCTGTTGTTATGTATGCTTCTTTTTAACTCAAGTTGACTTTTGATGAGTTTCCTGTCCTATCATAGTGAAAGGAGGTGATTCACATTTATGGTCCTTTCTATGCAAATTGCTTAAAGTTAAGAATATAACAAGTGCCATCATCTGTAAGTATACAATAGCATAGGTGTGTCCACGGCAAATTTGCTGTTTGGTGAGTTTTTGTAAAATACATATTCAATTACTTGGTTTCCCTGGCGTTCTTCTTTGATTACATAGATGGAGATCATATATTCCTTTTGTCTCTCCTGTTTCATCTATTTACCTTTATCTTTACTTACGTCTTCAGGAGTTTATGAAGGATGGACTCATCAATATCATTGGTGGTTGTTGTGGCACAACTCCTGAACATATAAGGTATGGTAATTTTGTTTATTAATTTTTGTCTACCTTCAATCAAAATCACACAAATTATCCCTTCATAGTGAGATTACGTACCATAATGCCAATTCCATTAGATATTCAAAGAGAGCTTAAGGTCTGTTACTTGTTATTTTTCTTGAATTAAGCGAAATGAGTACACATTTTAGCCCGTGACTATTCAAGACGATGTTGGTTGTTCGTTTTAAGGGGGGGGTTTTAGGGGGAGGGGCGCTTCTCTCATCATTTTTACTCTATTCTTCAGTTTGAGGTAAATGTTAACGGTTGTTAAGCCAAATATCCAACTAGCAAAAGTTTGATGCAATGTCAGGATTGTTGTTCTGTAAAGGAATTAATGAGCATCCTGTTTTCTTTTTCCTTTTAGGGCAATAGCAGATACATCCAAAGCCTTCAAACCGAGGGTGCCACCAACAGATCTGCATTCTGGACATTTGTGTCTGTCAGGTACGCTAGAAGCAATTAACTGCTTTGAAATAGGTCTAAAAAGTGAATGAATTTCACCCCAGCAACATTTGGTCCCAAATTCTTTCCTGTGGAGAAAATTCTGTTTTGTAATAATTTATAATTTTTTGGTATTTCATAGTGTATGATTAATAACTTAAAAAAGAAAAAGAAAAAAAAACCAGAGCCCCCAAGTACACATGGCAGAAGAGTAAAATCGTGCATTATTGTACAGATTTTGTCTTGTTCTGCTTGGCTCAATAATTTTTAATTTTGTTGTTAACATTTTGTTTCCATGTTCAGGTCTTCATTATAGGAAATTCAGGCTCATGGTATATCAATGTTATATTCTGTGTTATTAATCAGGTCTAGAGCCTTCTTACATTACACCCTTGACGAACTTCGTGAACATTGGAGAAAGATGCAATGTTGCTGGTTCAAAAAGATTCTGCAGACTCATTAAGACAAGAAAGTTTGAGGTACGTAAAGTTGAAAAAGTTGTCAGTCTCATTCATGTGGTAGATAGGCTGTTCGTGGAAAAAGAAGAATTTTACATTGTGTTACATTTCAGTTAATGGTACTACATGTAGATCTATGAATAAATTGCAAAGATGTACAATGGTGTGCTTATGTTTGAAAGTGTTGTCATTTCGAAATGCAACATTTCAGATTCTTGCAGGAATGTATATTTTCCTTTCTGAACTTTGTCAAATTGTCATATCTTTATTTCAAAGGAGAATATAAGAATCCATTGTAATGTTCTTTTATCTGGCTGTAAAATAGGTCAGTCAAGTGTTGAAAGGAAGCTCTTTTGCGACATGGACTTTTAAAAAAACAACCTTTATTTCAGGAAGCTCTGAATGTGGCCAAGGTGCAGGTGGAGAACGGTGCCCAGGTCATCGACATCAACATGGACGAAGGCATGTTGGACGGGGTGTCTGCCATGACCACCTTTGTCAACCTTATAGCTTCTGAGCCAGAGATTGCCAAGGTGATTTACAGGATGCATTCATTATGCTGCCCGACCCAACTCGGCGAAATATTTCCACTCCGTTCACCACTCTTTACGACTGTTTTCCAAAATGAGAAATCTACTAAAGAACTGTTAATAAACTATATTGAAACAAATCGCATTTATTCTTAAAATATCAGTTACTCTTCTTCTTTGCCTTCAAAGATCATTTTCTTTAGGCTTTGCCGAAGAAATATCTCTAGTATGCCATTTTCTTTTCACTCAAAAAACTTTCCACTGTCTGGGGAGGAGAGCATAGTTGTGAGACAGTTTACGAGATAAACTTTGTATTTAACAAATAATTACTAAAGCCTGGAAAAATGACACATGATTTTCAGACAAACAAGACATTCTCCAATCTAGTTTTTTACACTACGCTATGTTCATGAATTGTATCAGTTATTCTGTTCATTAAAGTACTTACAAGAAATAGACAAGGTGGCCTCAAAAGAATTAATTTGAACTGTTTCTTCAATTTCTCCTCTCAGGTGCCTTTGTGTATTGACTCCTCCAACTTCGACGTGGTGATGGCAGGCCTGAAGTGTGCCCAGGGCAAGTGCATTGTCAACAGTATCAGCTTGAAAGAGGGAGAGACAGAGTTCCTGCGCAAGGCGAAGATTGTTCAGCAGTATGGAGCAGCAGTTGTAGTTATGGCCTTCGACGAGGAAGGGCAGGTATGTGGTAGATTGTGGGGGTACGTCCATGCCTGCCTGATTTTTATCCCATGGTTGGTTTCATATTCCTTGGGAAGTGAACATTTTTCCTCCCCTTATCATGAAATGCAAAGATATTCTAGGCTGAGTCACAAAATCGGTTTCTTTTCTTATGTGATGTAAATATCTTCTTAAAAAACTTTTTTTAGTTGGGTTTTTTGTGTGTGTGTGTGTTTTGCGGCAAGCTTTTTATTCGTCTCATGGTCTTGCATTAATACTTGGAGTAAGTCCAACTTGTATTATTCCGAATGATGGTTTCATACCTTTTTGTATGTCTTAATCTTCAGCTTATAAATATACCCTCCTGTCTTCTCTAGTCTCTCTTTCAAATGTCTGAAAGTTATTTCAGTGTTTGATGTCAATATGATGTGTTCATGTCTCTTAAAATGAAAAAAACTAATTGTACTGTGATATTGGATTTTGCTTGGTTAATATTGTCTGAAAGAGAAATGACTTCTTAAAAATTAAAGAATGAAATAATAAATTATACACATTTTGGAGGCATTTTTTGCTTCACATTTGTTTCAAGCCAGTTTATGATTAATTTTATCAGGCTGTGAGACTTTTGTTTAGTTGTATAATGTTTGTTTTGTCTTTTTGTCTTTTTTCTAGGCCACGGGCCGTGAGCACAAAGTAGCCATTTGCACACGTTCCTATAATTTGCTAACTCAGAAGCTGAACTTTAACCCTAATGACATCATATTTGACCCCAACATTCTTACCATCGCCACTGGTATAGAGGAGCACAACACTTATGGGATCAGCTTTATTGAAGCCACTGCTGACATCAAGGTAGGTTAAGATATTTAGCTATCTGTGTTTTCTCTTTTTTTTTTTAAGTCGGAAAGTCTCCATAAATTTCTCCAGATGCATGAAATGGGGAATTACCATTGCATAAGTGCAAAGCTTTCAATTAAGAATTAATTTTTTTAAAGCCAGTGCAAATCATGCTTTGTTTACCTCAGTTTTGACCTAACTCATTCAGTGTGACGAGTAAACTGATAGGTTCACCATCTTCATCGTCACTGCAATAATCCGGATCATCGGCTCACCTATATACCTCTATAAATATTCAACTTATTCCAGTCCATACTTTCAAAAATAGTATCCTTATTTTGGTTAATAAATATTCTTTTTTTTTCTCGAAATTTCCAGTTTATTTGATAAAATGATGTTACACTTTGCTGAACAAATAGGTAAATCAGTGGACAAAATTAAATGTATGTGCTATACAGGTGCCTGCCATTGGAAAAAAATGATGTCAGAGAGGGTCAAATTAAGCAGTGAATGAGTCAAGATTGACTGATCGTGTTCTTGTGTCAGAGGTATTGTACAATTTTCTCAGTGACGCATGGTTTCCCTGTGTCAAAGCCACAATGTGATTCTTTCAAATATGTTAAGTACTCAACCTTTTATTTTCACATTAAAATTATCATATTAGATTAAAAACTCTATTATTGTTGTGTATGTTTTATTTTGTTGTTATTTATGTGTGCATTCAGAGAACCTTGCCAGGCGCCAGAGTCAGTGGGGGCGTGTCCAATTTCTCCTTCTCATTCCGTGGCATGGAAGCTGTGCGAGAGGCCATGCACAGTGTTTTTCTGTACCATGCCATCAAGGTATGTTTGTCAAATTCCACTGGCTGAACCTAACCCTGAAAAGCACAAATTTCCTTTACAGCTTATCAAAAGTTACCAATGATGATGAATATCTGTTTTAAATGCCACGGTATTTGAGGAGATGTACCCAGACATAAATTTTCCTACACTAATTTCCGGGCAAATAAAGTATTCTGCTGATTTTTTGTGGTTTGTTCATGAAACCAACAGTAACAGGAAATTTGGATAGAGTAAAAACATATGTGTAACTTCTGTGACATACTCTTCATTGTCACCACTCTGCTGCTCACAAGAACTGTTGGAAAGAAACTAGTGGCGTCGGTGGCCTAGTGGTTAGGCTACCGGACTCGTAACCGTGAGGTTGCGGGTTCGGGGGTTCGAGCCGCGGGCCCGATGTTGTTTCCTTGGGAAAGACACTTTACCCGAAATTCCCCACTTCACCCATGTGGGAATGGATACCCAGCTATAGACAGTGAAAGATCTTGTCAGTTTGTTAGTGTTTGAGCGCTTAACCAGCTGCTTGCACTGCCTGCTTCCCAGGAAGCTGAGAATGTTTCTGAGTGTTCTACGGTCTTCTGGGGTAATAATATAGTGTAAAGCGCATAGAGCTTGCTTTCGAGTGAGAACATGCGCTATACAAATGCTATTATTATTATCATTAGAAATGAAAGACTTTTGAAACAAAGTTTTTTTAACGAATTCCTGAAATCGATTTTTTTTTCGTTGTTATTGAGTTACTCAATATATTTAGACAGTTATTTGTCTGTATATGTGCACACATGCTCCTTGGGGAGAGGGGGGGGGGGTATCTGTCTCTCGACCTGTTCACCCTTGAACACTTAATTAAGCATGCATGTTTTGAAAGAAAATGTGATGTTTGACCCACTTTGCTTGCTTCTCTCGTTGTTGAGTTGTTAAAAAGGTCAAACTTGATATTGGGAAAAGAAAGTTGACATGAAAACTTGTCAGTTGCTAAATGTTTGTTCTTTTAATTTTATTTTCTAAGCGTACTACAGCTTCTGAGGTCTCTTCCAAGGTTTTATTTCTTTTGCCACATATCAATACATTTCATTTCTCTTTTCATTTTTTCTTTTGTGTAGGCAAAAGCTCATCCTCAGGAATTGTGATTAATCTAAGTAAAAAAGAGATTTATCTAATGTCCTGTCATCTTGCCTTTTTTGTGAGAGTGGTTGTAGGATGCCACTGTTATGTTCTACTTGGTTTCTTCCCCTCTATTGTTGCTGTCTATCAGTCTGGCATTGTTCTTGCACTAAATGACCATGATGGTTTTGATTTGTTTCTCTTTACTTGAACAAGTTGTCTGTGGGCATCCTCAGGCTGGTATGGACATGGGTATCGTCAACGCAGGAGCCCTCCCTGTGTATGATGACATTGACAAGGAGCTGCTTCAGCTGTGTGAGAACTTGTTGTGGAACAAAGATCCCGACGGCACTGAGAAGTTGTTGGCGTACGCACAGGTTAGTTATTAGATGAAGAGCCTTGTGACGAAATGCTTTGTGAATAAAACCCAAAAATAAACACTAGATGAAGCTTATTTTTTTATTCATAATCTGTATACTTTTTAAACAGAGCATACAACTCCCCCCCCCCCCAAAAAAAAAAAAAGAAAAAACATTACAGAAAGAGCAACAACAAAAACCAAAACAGTGAAGAACAACTGGCCTGGTTTTTTCTCTCTCAACTTTGTTAAACTTTTGCTCCTTCCAGACAAACACTCAATCTTTTTTTCCACCTTCATAATTCTGTTTAACTGTCAAGTGTGTAATGATCCTTCCTTTGAATAGCTGGCATAGCTGAGATTGTTGAAGCTAAGAAAGGTCGACGGATGATGAGTGCTGTTTCACAATATCTATTGTCTTACGTATTCATTTACAGAGTATGACTCAGGGTACCAAAACCAAAGCTGCGGAGGACGAATGGAGACAGCAAGGTGTGGAGAGTCGTATCTCTCACTCCATTATTAAGGTGAGTATTTGCCACTTCATTTTTCTTACATGTTCTTTGCAATAATTATAATTATCATCAATGCCATGTTCTTTGTAAAAGTGAATATATACAATAATGATTATCATCAATGCTTCTGTGGTCTAGTCCTGTTGTTTTTACTAACTTTTAAAAATAATGTAGGAGGTAATTTTTTTTTTTCACTTTTTATATGTTTGAGATTATGTGAAGCCTGCACTTGCATGAACCAAATTTGTGTTGTACTTTATGATTTTACAGTTAGGATAGCATTTTTCAGGCAATGTGCTCACAGATTATCTCCATGGAAAGATAATTTTCTTTCAGTTTTGCATGTTGGGTAGAAAAAAGGATTGCAAGATAAGTCTCTGGGCCCCAAAGTTTCACAAAATCTGAGGCCGTGGCATGAGACATTTACGGTACCCATATCTTTTACTGTCTTTACTTCCACAACCCATCTCCTGGCAGTGCAGTTGTTTGATTTTCTCCCCAGGGCATTGACAAATATGTCATTGAAGACACAGAGGAAGCAAGGCAGAAAAGCGATCTTTACCCAAGACCTTTGAATGTTATTGAAGGCCCCCTCATGGCGGTATGTACACATTTCCTTTCCATTGTCAATCAATTTTTTTTGCTGG